GAACCAAGAGGGTAACAAAACATACCCTTGCGGAGCATCCAGGGAAATGGCAACACCCAAGTTTGTGCCCATAAAATAACCTGATAATAGCCCAGCCAGTGTGGCTCAAGTGGTTAAGCATTCACCCATGAACCAGGAGGTCAGGGTTCAACTCCTGGTCAGGGCACTTGCCCAGGTTGTAGGCTCGATCCCCAGTAGGAGACATGCAAGAAGCAGCCGATCAATGACTCTCTCTCATCACTGATGTCTCTCTCCTCCTTTCCTCTCTCTAAAATCAATAAAAACATATTTTTTAAAAGAAACAATAACCTGATAATAAATGTCAAAGCTCCCTACCAATTGACCTGCATATTGCAAAGATGAAACCTGAGGGACTGTGGAATAAGAGAGTTTCATAGGATTTTTATAATAGTTGCTGAAAAAATGATTTGTTTAGACAAAAGACTCCTTTTGGTCTTAGTTAAAGCATCTCAGCTAAAGAATGTCACCTTCTGGCTAGAGCTGGAATTAGGTTAAGGTCTCTTTGCTTTCAGAATGTTCACTAACCCACTCTACTATGTAAGTTATTTAATATTCCTGATCCTCATTTTCCTCACCTGCACCAAGGAAACAAAAATACCTTGCTTATAATGTTCTTGGGAGAATGCATATCATATATAAAGGGACTACTACAGTGCCAAATGAATAGTAATTATAGTAATTATAATGATCTTTTTTAGAACATCTCTAAAAGTAAGTGAGAACATTAATTTGAAATTGACTTTGGGAAGATGAAGAAAAGTCCACCGCAGGAGTCCTTATCTATTGCTAAGCAACTAACTTGCACTCTATTGTTTTGGAAAGGTAGGCCCTTTCTCTTCTGTGGATTCTGAATTTTATATAACTGTGTGCGTAGTCCTATCTGAACACTCAGCTCAGGTTTATTGTTCAGTTTCTATTACTCTTAATTCTGTTTGCGCCGGCATAAGCTATAGAAATGATATCAAATGAGAAGTTATTCTGACACATAAATTGTCCTATGGGAGAGGGGTTCTATATTACACTGCAATTGTCTGTTTTTCTGACTGTTCCCAAATAGACTACAGATTTTCAAGGGCATTAGTCATGTCTTGGTCATCCATTTATCTCCACAGTCTTAAAAGTGCTTGGCTCCTAGTAGGTACTTAATAAATGAACATTCAATGAAGAAAGTAATACTTGAATGAAAGAAAGGCAAAACAGTCCTAATGCAGACATCGCATTTTGGGGGTTACTTTTCAAATCTGAGTTCGAACTAATTCAATAATGACTATTATGACATCGCTGTTGCCAGATTCTCTAAGATTTATTAAACATGTATACCCACTACAATTAGATGCTGCATCTACTAGGTGAAAATCAGTTACTCAGCTGATTGGGAGTTAATAGTTCCCATAATTGACATCATGACATAGCAACAATAAAAATAACTTGGTACCACCCTCCTCTCTTCTAGCACTGGTGGGGGACTAGAGATCTACCACTTTCATTTGACTAAGGGAGCCCTTTCTCAAAGAGAGACTGGGAGGCTCAAAATGTCTGTGGCTGTCCTAATGGGGTCCCACATGAGCACAGACTCCATCAGAATACCCCTGTGGAGACAGGAGATAACATTCATTGCTGAGGTTTTCGCCACTCCTGAGGGTGGACCGCCTAGGTATGAACTCACACGGTGACAGGGTATAAAGAATTTGCGGCTCACGGAGCACCTCCCCGTTTAGGACTGTCTTTCACCTCTCCTGTACTCAAGAGGACTCTGCTCTGAAACACACTTAGACTGCCCACTGTGAAAATACGAAAAGGTGATAAGTTATGCTGTATTCAGACAGAAGGGAAAAAAACACACACCTGTTCACATAAAGGGAAAACAGAGGGCTAGAGTGTTATGGATACATATAATGTTATCATTCCTTTTCATATGCCCACATTTTTCCGGTGGAGGTAGGAGGGAGAGGCGTGGGAGTGTCTCTAAGGCCCTGCCAATGTTACAGATAAGAGTGTTCTGGTGGATAGGACTACATGCATTCAGAACTCCTTCTCTGCCGCCAGGCACCTCGGCTCTGAAGAATCGCCCAGGTGTGAATTCATAGGGTCCTGTGCAGTCTATAGTTTCATTATAGAACACATGGGCAAATGAGATGCAGAGCGATACTCCTGGTTTTCTATGCTTGTTTGAGTTTCCTTAGGCCCTCCCTGAACTGGTTGTTCAGTAATGGCCACAGAGCCAGCCCAGTTATTTGCAGAGTAAATATGGTAATGACCATGACTCTGGGAAGCAATGGTGGGGAGTGGATAAGAAAGATGGCTGTATCGGTTGATGCTAAAAGTATCTAAAAGTTTCATACAGTTATATTATTCCTAGCCCTTCCATTCCACAGTAAACAAATTGGGATTAACTACTTTAACCTCTTATTAGAAACAGTTTACACTGCAGTTGTCTCCTTGCTGATATATTTTCTCTTAATATTCATCTTAAACTTATTTCTCCTGATAAATGTCATTGTGTGTGTGTGTGTGTATTTATATTAAAAAATATAAAGTTGGCAAAAAGGATTCAAAGGTTTTAGACATCCTGGCCTTTCCTTTTGTTTGTCTCCAGGCCTCTTGTTCTCCCTAATGGAAAGCTTTCTTAGAGCACTGAAGAACTCCCTTCCTCCCCACATATTCTTTCTCTATCGCTGACAGTTTTTATTTAATGCTAAATAAATGGGAAGGAGGAAAACCTAGGAAGAGAAGACCATTTATTCGCAATTAACTATGCTTATCTGAAGGGCTGAGGTGTTTACTCCAACAGAACTGTGTTTAGGACAGCGTGCTCTGTTCCCCTCTACCCCACTAGGACATATCAATGTAATAAGCCTTGGCATTATCTTGGCTATATCCAAATAAGTGAGGAAACAAAAGCTAAAGGGTGTCTTTCTGTTGTGGAGAAACTTGGACCATTCCCAGTGTAGACACATTGAGTCCCTACTCCTCAGATCTAGACCTCATCTGATGAAGTTTGGTCTGTGTGCTCTGGGGTCCTGTTACCCTCTGTGTCCCACTGTCTCTGGTTCATTTCTCAAACAAGGCAGCCTCGAAAGGCAAATCTAATTGCAGGGCTGATTGGATCTGAAAGTTCCAAGCATTGACCAAACACTCCCAACAGGACAGAATTGAGACCTAATGTTTGCCATGAAAAGCTCCGCGTTATCTCTTAGATGAATGGAGTACTCCTAAATATCAGTATAGATAGACTGGCTAAGATGGAATAACCCAGGGAACACGTAACACTACAGATTTCTAGGTTATATTGTCCAAGATTTTGCCTCAGTATGTGTGAGGCAGTCAAGTTTGCTAGGTTTGGGAACTCAGTGCTACACAATTGCCTCAAATCATAAGTCACTCTGGACAGAGCCCCTGGGTTCATCTGACACAGTCATTTGCACTTTGTCCAGTGAACTCGGGCGCTGTTTGACTGATTTTCAAAAACAGGGATAAGGACACATTGTCATATCTGGATGGGAGGAAACCAGCAGCCCCAGGGGCCAGTCTGAGTTACTCTCACAAAATAATCGATTGACGCTTATCTTCCAAGACACACGGAGATCCCAAAATAGTTGTAGACATGGATCATAGGCATAAGGTCATCAGATACACCAATGTGCACTCGTCTGTGCCTACGTATGTACACACACTCTCACTGCCTTGCCTCTGGGAGCCATGGATGAAGGTGGCCAGGCTCTTGACCAGAGCTGTGCCATGGATGACTGCTCAGGCTGTACGCTGCACAGTTCCAGGCACCATTTTCACGTACTGCAATGTGAACGGTCCCCCAGAGGTTGTGCAATGCAGTGGTCCTTGGAGAAAGTTAGACATTTGAAAACCAGAAGGAGCCCCTACTGAGGAAATACAACGTTTGGGGTGAAAAGTCAACAGGATTCAACAGGATTGTGTTCTTGCTATGCAGCTGGCTCTCAAGCTCTGCTCTCAGCACATGCACACACAGGTATATACTCTACTTTCGGCACTCCCCCTTTCCTTTAATTCAGGATGATTTGTAAGAGCTTCCCTTCCACACTGCACTGATGGATTGGGAAATGCCACAGCAAATTAGAGGTGGAAAGTTAGTTCATGGTGAATGAGTCCCCAACCTCTAGGCTCCTCAGCATTTTGGAATTATTTAAACCCAATCCAGATAGTCTTTATCTCCAGAGCCCTTTTCTTAAAACCCAGTCCCATGCAATAAAGCACGTTTATTTCATGCAACACAGCTTAGTTGATGTTTCTGGTTCCAAATACCTCAGCTTAGTGGGGGCACAGCTCAGTTGGGAGTGCCTGGTATGAAGGAACATGCACAGCGCAGCAACAGGGGGGTTTACCACCAAACACAGAGAAGTAAAGGAGATGCAAAGCTACGGTAGCTAGAGGAGGACCAGCTTTCCTGATTTCAGTTCATGAAAAGCCTCTTGCCTCTATAGTTCACTAGTTTGGCATGGCATTTGCCGTTGGCTGTGAGTTTACATTGTGCTCAAAGGAAGTCAGATTAATTCCCAGGCTGCCCGGGATCAGGGGCTGGCATCTTTCCTCAATTGCAGTGCTCCTCTTAGACCCAGTCTTAGGCTTTTGCATTTGTTTTCCTAAGTGATTGGATAATCCCGAAATGTGAATTTCCTCCAAGCTCTTCCACTTTGCAAACTCCAGAAGCAACTGACGAATATGTTAAAATCTGTGGGAGAACTGACTGTGAGGTAAGGCTTCAGACATGCAAAGCGCGCAGCCCTGGGAAACAGCAGCATCTGGGACAGGAGGCTCCCATCACTTCACACGAAGATGGCATGGGTTTTGCAAATCAAACACACACAGAAAACCAGTGGTGGCCCAGGTTGGACACACTGTATGGGATGCACAGTTGAGCGAGGACCCAGACCAGGGAGCCACCTCTTCCTCTAGCTTGCATACATTTAGTTCACAGCACCTCAGGCCACTCACAGTTTGCTTACCTGCTCATTGTTGCTCTCCCACCATTCCCCATACTCCCTTTGGGGGTGAAACACTCTATTTCCGACTTGTGCTGGGCCAGTCTCCTGTCTTTGTACCTGGTGAGCATGAACAAGGACAGGAGCAAAAGAAAGATGTGATTGTATGCTTAACTGGCCAGGCTGAGGAAGCGCTGGGGCTGCAGACGGCCGCCCCACACCAGAACAGGAGCTCCTGCTTTCATTGCAGTGGCTGACCTGGGATACTTATTAGATGACCCTGTTGGTACATGCATCACACTGGAGATCGTTCTGTTATTTCTTGGTTAAACCCACGTGATCTACCCTTTTATGTTACTCATTAATCTGTGAGTTCACTATATTTAATAGGCAATGGTAAAAGCAATGCAATCCCTAGCATCTAAGAACAAGATAAATATCAATAAATTAGTATTTATTTAGTGTTTACATTGTGCCTGACAGGTAGAATGTTACTTAAATTTAAGTAATGCTACCTAAATTTAGTTCTGGCAACAACCTTGTGACAGAGGCTCTGCTATTATATCTATGTTTCTGGAGAAGAAACCTAAGATTGTAAGGATTAAGTAGATTGACCAAGGATTTTGAACACAAGGGATCTAAGTTTAGAACCCACACTTTTAGCTATTATAATATGCTGCCTTCCATTATCTGTCTTTAAAAAAAAAAATCTTATCATTAAAGAACATTTGTTAAGCGGTACTCTGTCTGAACATCACATACAGGGGTGGGCAAAAGTAGGTTAAATTACCAGCCATCATTACCTAAAAGATAAAGTATAAGTAAGGATATGAAATAATAACAACAATAATAAGACAAATAATACAAATAAATAATACAGTAATTAATAAATAAGTAATAATACAAGAATAAACTGTTCCTCTTACTCAAACTATAAACCTACTTTTGCCCACCCCCATATATTGGAGACTGAGGGTGCCAAAAGAGAAAAAGCATTTCCTTTGATGTGAAAGGCTTATATAACCATTAAGCTGAAGTTTGAGAGTCAGCATTGAGCTGCCTTACTTGTGCAGGGTGGCTCAAACAGCTTTGGCATCAGAATTGGCAACTCACCACACCTAGAAGGTACTAGATGTTTCATCTAAAATAAGTTATGAGATTTTCAACATTAGTCTGCTACAT